TACCGGGGTTACACAAAAATTGCTAGTTCTGATTGGTCGAATCATATGATGTTTACATGTAAATCATATGATATCATTTACACAAAGTTGATGTACAATCTATTTTATATGAAATTGGAAATTTGTACACCCTACTTTTAATTTGTTTGGTAAAAAACATATGTGCTGAGGTAATATGATTTTTATCACTTTTGTAGAATTGCTCTATAAAATAGAACTATCAGTAATGAATTTGCTTGGATGTGATATTGGATATGTCAAATTTTTTTTGGAGGTGTTGTTTTAATTCGACAAGATTCAAATGTAAATGTTTACTAATTTCTTGTCTCACTTCAGATGGCATTTCAATTTCAATAGATTGAGCATGTAAAATTTTATGTTTTAATGTTATCTTTGCTTCTGCCATTAGTATATCAATTTTAATTGATATTGTATCATCACAATTATAATGAAAATTCTTTTTTAGTTTGAATTTTTAAATACATGTTCAAGCTCAGAACTTTGGGAGCAAGCAAAGTAAGCATTTTCAACACCATGATGATGAACTGAAAGGTTAGGTGCAGTCATAGCTCTATATTCACAGATATGTCAATTAGTATATAATTAAATATATGCTACATGCTGTAATAATTCTAAAAAACAATTTTAATTTTTTTTAAAAATTGTAATTTGGACAGCAACTATAGTTAAACAATATAAGCTAGATATATATATTTATTACATATGTCCAATTGTAACTATCTCTATCTTCTATTTTATCAATTATTAATTTTGCTATATCTTTAATATTTATATCAGCATCACTTATCATGGCTTCATCAAACCGAATATGAAAGACAAGAGAAAGTTCAGCATGATCTTCTAAGTCATCAATTGTATTCATAATATATTGACTAGCTTCTTGTATAAGAATTATTTCGATGTAATTATTTTCAATATTGGAGCTATTAACTGATTCATTCTTTTTTTTAGTTCTTGTGAATCTACATTTATTACAAGTTTTGTAATTGCAACCATTGAGTGTAAATTCTTCAGAGGAACGAATAGATCCACAAGTGCTACACGTTGGCATTAGAGAAAGTATTTATTTTATTAATTCGCAATCAATTTATAGACAAAAGGATAATTTTATTACTGATTATTTTTGAATATAATATCAATAATGATCGCCAGCGATTTTATTAAGTAATTTGGTAATTTTTTGTATCAATTAATCAATAATAATGTTATTTTATAATAAGTATTGGTTTTGTATAATAAATTTAATTAAGAGATCTAAAAACTTTTTGGTAGCAAACTAAATGTCAAGGTAACGGTTTAAATACTTTTTAGACCTTCAGTTTAATTATATTATTTAGTGATTTATTTGATTAATTCGTAGATATAAATCAGAAACACTAAATTCGCATAAATGATAAAATGAATATTTGGATCAAAGATGTTTGAACTAATATGCGCATAGGACAGGTAATTTGCTTATTTTAATATTAAACTGGAAAGACCAAAATAATTATGAAGCATTTGGTGTACATCAGGAAAATTTAAAACCTGATTATAATCGGTTGTTTTAAATGATTATTATCGGTGGGATGATAATGATCAATTTAAATCAAAATCGATTATAATGAAGATGTATAAAATCGATTAAAAAAGGATTAAATTATATATACATCGATTATAATCGTCAGATTTTAATCAACTACAATCAGGTTTCAGAATTTTCTGATGTATACCAATTATCGTTGTTTTCAAAATCCTGTGTCCCTACACAATTGACACCTAACTATGGAATCGATTGCAGAATCGACTTTCATACCCCTGCATCTCAATAATTATTATAAATTTTGGAAATGCAGGGGTATGATAATCGATTCTGCAATCGATTCCATTGTTGGTTGTTAATCATGTAGGGACACAGAATTTTGAAAACAGCGATAATATATGCTGAGTTATGGATATTTGATTAGCAAATCGATATTTTATTCCATAAAATATAAATATTAAAAAATCGATTCATGTATGCTATAATTCTTTTTCAGCAATTTTGTGATAAATGTTTAATTTATTAAATAAAAATTTAAATCTAATCTCTTTTACTATGTTATGCTAATTGCTTTTTTAAACATTAATATTTAAATGTTAAATTCGAATATGAATTATTAATTAAACATGAACTAAAATTGGTCAAAATGTGAATGTTATAAATGTTTGATTTGTATTATTTTACATCTTGAATCTTAATAATTTGATTATTGATATGAATTACTTGAATTAGTTAAGTTGTTTCAAAAATTGGTTTTAGTTGATTATATTTTAAAGTGAAATCTAAACAATTTTAATCTTCAATACAAAAAAAAATTTTATTCTAATATATATATGGTATAAGTATTTTACATTTTCAAATTTTTGTTGCAGATATATAGCATCGCTTTCTTTGATATATAAATACTCTCAAATTAATATAACATAGCGAAATCTGTAGTACAAAATGCACACGTGCGATGTAGCAGGAGATCAGTGACAGTAAAATCGATCCTACGCCCTGGCATAGTCGAGTTCACGATTCTTTCGCCTTAGTTCTTTCGATATGATCTTTGACGATCAGTGATTATCAATTCATCATACCGGCAAAAAATCAGAAGAAAAAAAAAGTATAAAATTAAAAAAAAAACTCAAAAAAAATAGAAGCATATCATTAGACAGGATTGACATATAAGTTCTAAAAGAATACCTTTTTATTAGGATTTGGGTTGTTTTAAATGATCCGAATTGTTTTTTTTTCTTTTCTCAATGAGAAAGCGCTGTTAATGACAAATATGAAAAGGCTAGATTCATTAAATTCTGTGCTTTACATTACCCCCAGAATCTCTCCCCCTTTCATAGTAAAAAAAAAAAAAAAAAAAATCCGTATATTTAACACAATAAACCCCCAGGAGGTAGAGGGGGTAATGTAAAACACAGAATTAAATTGGTCTGGCCAAATGGACAATCATTTTGTGATAGCATTGTCAAATATTAGTCTAGATAGGACTTTCTTTCGTTATTTCTTCTTTCGTATCTAATAACATACCAATCCGACTTTATAAATTGATGGTCTGATAGAAGAAACGAAACAATAAACAAAGCAAAATTTATTACAATCAGAGTCCTCGGATTTTTGTAGCATCTAAAATAGCGCTATTTATTTTATTTTTTAGTAAAATAGCTAGCAACAATTGTCTTGTGCTGATATGCGAAATTTGCTACTTTTGCACTAAACATATGATTATTACCTTTGTTCTTGAACTGGTTTACATAAATGAGTAATTATATGCATATTTTAGATGATGACCGGTTAGCTCATTGAAATGATAGATAAAGAACTCGCAGAAGAAAAATATGATTACATTAAAATTTATACTTAATAAATATAAATTTATAATAAACTGCTTCGCTAAATTCGAAAATTTCACTAGCCATTTTTGCTAACTATTTTTGCTATCAACGTCCGGGGTCCCTGATTAAGATCTATATTTAATGTTCAAGATAAATGCATCAGATGTCATTACAAGTAGGTCTACATTCTTTTATTGACTTTGACAATTTTCTTATTTAATTATCTTTACTGAATAATACAAATTTTATAATTGTAATTAAAGTTCATGATTTTATTTTTGGTTTTATGCTTAACTCGGATGATTTAAAGTAGGGTGAATACTTTTTTGCAGGTAATGTAAATTATTTACGTAATCTTATTATTTATCAAAATAAATTACTATCAATATTATCAATACGGATTTTTTTTACTTAAATTATGTTATTGATTAATCCTAAAATTTTCAGACTCTGAATCGATTTCTTTCGTATCAATAAGTTTAGAAATATACATCGTGTCATCGTGTTTTTGTGAGGTAATTGGTAATTCTTTGATTGATTTAT